TAGACTTAAAAGCCTGCAGCAAGGAAGGGAACTCGATTTCAAAACTTGGCTGGTCCAAACCTGCAGGGAGCTGATGACGACTAATCAGCAAAAACTGGTTATTGTCAGGGGTAGTGTAATTTTGAATATAAAACCCATCGGTTGTGTGGTTGCTACCGGGGATTTTTACCAAGGCACAACAAGTCGACAATGTCCAGAAATGCAGTCGGCAGAATGAAATTACTGAAAAAGACAAAGGAGAAGCAAGTGACCATATCTGGCTTATAACATATCCACACACACATATAAGAAATGGACCATTATCATGCTAGCATTGGCAATTTTAGACGGAAAAGAGAGCCTCCTGAAGACTATGAAGAAAAACACATACAAACGTATGGTGAGGTAGAATGTGGGGGGGAGCATTGGTGGGGTAGCCTAGGCGTTAGGAAAACGAGGTGTTTGGTTGCCTAGGATACTGGAAAACGGCCCCATCCTCTAATGTCGGCCCAGCAGCGACTACCAACATCTAGGTGTGTGTGTGAGTGTGCTATTCTCTCTTTCTACAGGATGATGAACTCGGCGCCAATGAGGAAAAAACTCCACCCTTTGCAATGCTCATGAAACCCTGGAAGAAACTGCAGACATTCTTCCAGGAGGACAAACTCGGCATGAAGATGGTGGAAACGAGGCAAAAAATGTGGGAACTCATGTGTAGCAGTAAGATGTCTACAGCGGCCCTCTGTTATTTTTAACATTCTCATTTTAGTTCAACAGCGTATGCGTGAGCAGTTGAAGTTGAAGCTGAAGGAACTTCTGAAGGAGGAATAAATAGAAGGGAGACCCGCGGCTGGAAATCCTCCCGATTTTATTTTCCACTTCAAGCTCCTCCTCCTCCCAGCCGGAGCAAATGATCTGGCGAAGAAAAACAAATTCGTTCGATCTGCAAACCCCAAGTCCACCTGGGCATACTGCCTTTCTAGCGTTCACTGACTCAGTTGCTGAGAATTTTCTGTTGTCCAATCCTGGTAAAACTTGCACAAAAAGCGACTTTGGTCTTATTCCTTTGAATAACATTATGTGGGACTCCGGTAGGGGGGAGGGGGGGGAGGGCTGGAACTGCGTACAGGGCGGATCGGAAGGTAACGAAAGTGCGGGGATATCCACATGGATCTCTAATTGAGTGTTTTACTGGGGAAATATTCTGCGGCTGAAGAGTAGCTCAATATGGGGACATGCTACACCGACTCGCCCTCTACCTCTTTGAAGTCTACGGCCTGGGGAGTTAGGTGCCAGGTCCTACGAATGCGGAAAATGAAAGTGGCGTCAATCATCGTCCAACTCGCATTACTGAACGTTTGTAAACTTGCAATTAGCTTACATTTTCAGGTGTTCAAAGGAGTTTAAACTTAACTCTATCCCGCACCTTAATCCTAAGCTTAAATGAAGCCTTGCTAAAAGAAGAAAGGGGGGGG